AATTGATCAAATAGAAGTGCAGGCACCTACTGTGGCCATTCACACTTCACCAGTTGAGCTCGCACAACAAGCTCGATCGGCAGCTCGATCGAGTCCAACTCTAGCTCGATCGAGTCCGACCTCTTCTGTCCCAGCCATTTTGCTTGATCCTTACCAACCAGTTGCCGCTTCCTCGTCTCGCCTACTTAGTCAAGGTCACAAGGAAGTGATTCACAAGTTCAGAAGAGATCTCAGTGGGATTGGAATTGAGTTGCCTCTATGGATAGCATGAGTGAGGCATTTGATCAAATGCAAATGGTCAAGGATGTTCTAGCCAACAGTGATAAAGTTTCAGAGGTCCTACAGAGTCTACTCATCAGTTCAACCTGCTTACTTCACCCACTTTCCTACCAAAGGTCAAGGATCAAGGGAAATTCACTCTCCCTTGCACACTTGGGCATCTTGAGCTTGACAATGCCTTAGTGGATTCTGGAGCAAGCATCAATCTGATCTCTCTCTCCATGGCAGAGAAACTAGGCATTGCTGGAGCCTTGCAGCGCCCTACTACTTCAATCATGTTTGGAGATGCAACTTCTAAGTCTCCTCTTGGAGTGTTCAAGAACTATCACTTGAAAATTGGAGAATGCATCATCCAAACTGATCTCACTGTGATGGAAATGGAAGAAGAGAAGGATTTGCCCTGTTATTGGGAACCCCTTTCCTTAGTACAGTTGGCGCTTCAATAGACTTTCACAAGCAAGAAGTGATCCTTCACAAGGTGAATAGTTTGGTGTCATATCGCTTGCAGCCTAGAGGTTCAGACTTTTGTGCCACAATTGACAGTACCACTCTCAGTTCTAAGAGTCATGGAGCTACAAAGGTTGTGAAGGAAAGGGTTGACAAGGAACCAAGAGTTGGGAAGGATAAGGATGAGAGAGGACCAAGGATTGAGAAGCCACGTCTTGAGAGGGCTAGAGTTGAGAAACCACGTTCTGATAGGCCACGAGCTGATAGACTTGTTCAAGCCCCTTGTGTGCTTGATGAAGAGAAGCCTTCAAGCTTTGTTTGATGAGCCACTAGGAAGGGCTCTAAAAGAAGGGGAGGATGTAGCCTCTAAGGCAAGACCAGGGATAAAAGAAAGGATCCACCAGCTCAGGCCCCTTCATCAAGCCATCTCAGCTCACAATGACTTTGTTCCCCACCAAGTTTGAAAATGGGAAGATTGAGTACAAGATAAGGTACAAGGGGAGATCAAGGCCATTCTCTAGAGCCAAGGCCTTGGTGACTTCAGAACAGTCCAGGGACCCAACCAAGCTAAAGGAGCTTCTGTCTCAAGTCCTCACTATCACCCTTGATGGTGGGACTAGCTCAACCAATGCCTAAGAAGGTAAAGGTCAAGCTATGGGACCTTAAACAAGCTCACTTGGGAGGAAGTCCCATGTTTATCCTTGTACATACTCTATTTATGCAATTTCTATCTATCTTTATGTTTTTAACCTTTCAATAAGTTAAGTTTAGGTGTCAAAGGAGCCAGCTCGACCGATAGCTCGATCGAGCTAGAAACCAGGGCAACTCGATCGAGCTCACAACTCGACCGAGGTAAGTTTTTGAATTTCAAATTCATAACCGTTTTCTTGGTCAAGGGAGTGGGTCCCACAAGCTGATTTTGGTCCCCCACTACCCTAATTTGATCAGAGAATCCCTAGCTTTTGTTCCCCTTTATTTCATCTTTTAATCTCAACCACACATCTCAAACACTCCCTCTTCCCCATAACTCGATCGAACCCACTTCTCCACTCTCCCACACTTAAAATTTCTGAAACTCATCTCTCTCTCTCACCACAAGAAAATTTCGAATTCTCTCTTTCTCTCTTAAGTTTTTGCGATTTCCTCTTGTTCTTCATTGTTTTGTTTGGGTTTTAGTTTACTGCTCTTCAATTCATCATTCAACAAGGTATGAACCCTAAACCCTTGATTCTTCCATCTCGATTTCCATTATTGCTTGTTTCCTCTTTGATTTTTGATTGCATGTGTCCCTTGTGGACTTGTTCTTGAGTAATTGCTTTCATTTCTCTCCTGTATACTTGTTAATTTGCCTCACCTCACCTCTGTTTTGCATTAGAACTTGTTGCATGTGCTTGAAAATTGAATTTGAGTTTGGTATTGGTTAAGATGCTTATGCTTCACTAGAATTGCTCATTGTTCCATTTACTAGTTGTTCTTGGTTCAATTTGATTGATTAGCATCCTTTCCAGCTCTTAATACTTGAATTAGGTTTGGTTATACTCTGTTTTCACCTAGCTCGATCGAGTTTGTCACTCGAGTTTTTTGACTCGATCGAGCTGAGTGTCGAGTTGACCAAACCGATCATTACAACTCTAATTCTTTGTAATCTTTGATGCATTTCAGGTACTTTAGTGAAGAAACAGTGTAACAAGAGATGACAAACAGTGAGGGAAGGCGCTTCACAGAGGAGAATGGTTGAGGGTGAATCAAGCAATGCAAGGAAAGAAGGCTTAAGATGCAAGCCGATTTGGAGAGGATGATCAAAGAGATGGAAGAGTCTGATGCAGAGGATATGTCTACTCTGAGGAGAAGTCTGAGAGTGAGATTGAGGGAGGAAAGGAGACCAAGAAGAGGAATGACCCATTAGTAGTGAGAGTGAGCAAGGGGAGTTTGAGATTGGAGTGAACCTTGTTCAAGAGGAGGGAAATGGCTCTCCAAGTGAAGAAGGAAGTGATGAGACTGAGAGTGAAGAGGAAGGAGAAGAGGTGAATCAGTTGGTTGAGAAGTGAGCAAGAGTAACCAAGATGAACCATGGAGGAGTTGAGCCACAAGAGGAGGAGGAGAACTCCCCATGTACCAAGAGCACTACAATGCTCTCTTCTCCATGGACTTCATGGAGACCAAGTACCCACATGTTGACACAATGAAGGCCCTTGGAATCTTTGAGATGTGGAGTTGGTTCTCAAGAACATGCACTTGGCCAAGCTCTTCTCTTATCACATGGAATCCTACAAGGAGCTCACTTGCGAGTTTTAGCTTCAATGAGGTACCACATGTATGAGAGGAAGATAGAGCTGATTTGGACCAAGGATTGGGATGGATCACGTTCTTGGCTAAGGGAGAGAAGAGAATGGTGACCTTTAGGCAGCTTGGAATCTTGTTTGGGTTCAACTATGGAGAAGGGTACCAAGTGGAACTTCAAGGAAAGGAACTCCAAAGGGTTTGGGCTACAATCGCTGATGGAGTGTACTCTTCCTCAAGGTCCAAGGCAGCTCAGATCAGGAGCCCAGTCTTGAGGTATGTGCACAAGGCACTTGCCAACACCTTCTTTGCAAGGAAGGCGACCGGGACAATCAACGAGGGGGAACTCAAGTTTCTTGACATGGGAATCAAGCCCATTCTCTCACGCACAAGCGATGGCAAGAGGATCAAGGGGAGATAGATCTGACACAGGGAACTTGATGCCTTTCCTTGACCATCTCCTCACCTACAAGATCACAGCCTACAACACTAGCATCAAAGAGGAAGGCGCCTAAGTGTTGGAGGGCTCATCACACCTATCTTGTGTGCTGCTGGAGTGAACCCAACTGATAGAGAGCCACTGAACCAGGTTGGATGGACATCAAGTTTTGCAAGACCAACCTTCTCATTGAGCACAAGGAGTTGGATGGGAGGTTCCAATTCAAGTTCACCATCCATTGGCTGGACCCTCCAAGCTTCTCCTGCCCAACCCAGAGCTCACCACAGTAGTAAGGGGTGAGAACATTGACTTCAGACCCCCTGTGTACACATTAGTTGGGCATGAAGGGATTTGCGAGAAGAGGAGCCTGAGCTCGATCGAGCTGAGTCGAGCTGAGGATCGAGCTGATCGAGCTGAAGATCAGGTCCAGGAGAGTGCGGATTTGGGTGAGCCTGAGTGCTATTACTTTGAGGAGTATGAGGCTCCAAGGATGAACCCCTCTGTTGTGGCTGCCCACAAGAGGATTGGACTTCTCCAAAAGTTCAACAAATGGCAAGGGAAAGCCATTGAGAAGATGCAAAAGTCCATGGACAAGATGGTGAGCAAGATCAAAAGTTTGGAGAAGAAGGTTTCTGGTTCTTCAAGCAAGAAGAAGAAGTCCAAGGCCCCCACATTCCCTAGGAGTAGATCACTCCTCACCACTCCAAGGAGGCTCCCTGCCCAAGAGCCTCACAGAGCCTCTTCTTTCGAGCCAAGGGAAGGAGAAGACAACACGCAGAGAAGGAGGAAGACTTCCAAGGCCAGACGCTCCAGCTCGACCACCGGACTCGATCGAGTCCAAACAGAGGAAACTCAACTCGATCGAGCTGACGGTCGAGTTGACCTGGAGGAGCCCAGTTTGAGATCCGGATTTGAGTACGATCCCAGCCTTACCAGGACTCCCCAGTAGATGGAACCCCTATGGACAGTCGAGCTAGCCAGCTCCACCAAGGCCAAGGAAGCCACACCACTTTGAAGATGAAGAAGAGGAAGAAGAGGAGCCGCAAGCTCGATCGAGTGAGGCAACCCAGTTGAGTGGAGTGCTCCTGATGGCCGTCTACCATCTCCAGACCACGACCTAGCCTCCCAGTTCTTTGGGGGGCACTGAGGTATCCAAACACCAACCCTTGTATATACCATTTCATATTTTCTTGCATTTGTTCTTGTTTTTCTTGGTTTTGCCCTCTTGAATCTTTCACTAAATTTTTCTCACACAAGGGACTGTGTGATTTAAGTTTGGGGGAGGGTTCAAGAGATGATTTAACCTTGTTTTCTTTGTTCTTAGTTTTTCATTTATCTTTTGCATAGAAAAACCAAAAAAATCATAAAATTTTCAAAAAATCCAAAAATATTTTCATCTTTTTGCATTCATATTTGTTAGACTTGTTTAGGATTGCATTTTTCACTTGCATTGTTGATTTGACTTTGAAAACTTGTCCATCTTTTGCGATTTCTTGAGTGCCCTGTTTTTAGATTCTTTTGTGCATTAGGGTGAGATTGATTGAGCAGCAAGAACCATGTTTATCTTGATCATATCACTGCATGCACATCTCATTCAACCATTGCTGTGATTTGATGCATTTCCCTATCTATTTGAACCATAACTTGATCTTTAATTACCAATGCTTGCATTTGATTTCAACTCATGGCTACCACATACATATCTGGACATTCTTTACCATTTTCATATCCCTTTGCTTGTCCAGATAGCTGATCTCTATCTTTGAGACAGTTACCACACCTTAAACCTAAGCCTTTTCATTTCAAACCCCATATTATCTCTTGTGCGAATGTGAGAACCTTTCTTGGCTTTGCTTAGCATAAGGTGTTGTGTTTAAACCGGCAGGGGCAGTAGTTCTAGTTGTCTAGTTCTCTTGGGATTGTTTTCAGGCTAAGTTTGGGGGTGCCAACTCGAGCTCGATCGAGTTGGGTGTAAAAACCAGAAAAGTGGTAAAAGTTGGGAAAAACCCAAAGGAAAAAGAGTTTAGTTAAGTCCAGGGAGTTGGCAGTGTTAAAAAGGGTCTAGTAAAGGTTTGGGAAGTTAAAAAAGGAAGTAAAAAGGGTTCTAAGTAGAATGAAAAGAAGGCAAAGCCTCAAGTGTCAAAAAGAAAGAAAAGTTCCCTAAGTGTTTAGAAAATCCCAAACCGCTAGATGTTACCTCAAGAAGCCTCTCCCTAGGAAGTTCTTAAAAGAAAAGTGAGCAAAGCTCCTCAGTTTCAAAGGCGAAATGCCAAAAAGGGTAGTTAGGATTTTGTTCTAAAAAGCTCTAAGTGTTGAACTCGATCGAGTTAGGATTACGGCTCGAGCTGCTGTTCTTGCATCATCTTTGGTTCTAACACTTAGCCTTCTGCCAAAGCAAAGCCACTTTCTTGAGAGATCCCTGTTACTAAACCACCATACAAAAGAGACCCTCTTTGTCTCTTAACCCATAAACCCTTGAAACCAAATGAGTTGATTGATCTTGCATGTTTTTGGTTCACTGTTTTTGCTTAATGAATGTTAAAGGGATTTGCTGATTTGAATGCATTGTTTGAGTGACTGTGAAGTGGGATTGATGTTGATAAGCATGGTTAAATCTTAATGAATATCTCTCACCTTGTTGCATTCTAGAATCTCTAAGTTGGACATTTAGCAAATCGCTTTTGAGGACATGTTTTTAAGTGTTGAATCAGCTTGTTTTCAAACCTCATCTCTTTCTTGTTCTATTTGTTTGCTTGAGGGCAAGCAAAGTTCAAGTTTGGGGGTGTTGATGTACTTGCATTTTACATAGTTTTAGCACATCTTTTATGCATCTTTTGCATAGTTTTAGCATCCATTTGCATCATATCTTGTTCCTTTTCTCTTCTTATGCATTCATGTTAGTTTTAGGTTGCATTTGCATACATATGCATGTTTGGTCCTTTGAAATAGGTCTTTTGGAGCATTCTGGAGCATATGGGACATGAGGAGCATGGAGGGACTTGGCACATGGACGCAGCTCAACTGGATACGCAAAGGAAGAAGGGAGAAGCCATCTTGAAGACCAGCTCGACCGTCTACTCGACCAACCGGTCGAGTTCCTCAACTCGACCGGCCAAGCTTCAACTCGATCGAGCTGAGAAGTCAACAGTCAAACCCGAAAAATGTTGCTTCCCCCTTGACTTTCCTTTGACCCTAAACCTAATCCTCTTTGTATTTAAAGGCTAAGCCACGAAAAAACCACCAAGCTTTAGATTACTTTTGTTTTAGTTTCTTTTAATTTATTGTCTTTTACTTTTGAGAGCTCTAATCCCATCTTTGTGTTCTTGAAGCTCTTGCTTCTTGAATCCTAGATCCTGGATAATCTCTTTGTATTTGCACTTGCTTATTTCAATAAAAGTTGTTTAATTTCATCTCCTCTTTCTTATGATGTCTCTTTTATTGCATTTGCTTGTGTTTACATTCATGTGTAGTGAGTAGTTACCCATTAGGGTTTGAGATGGGATAGATTAGAGGTTTCATATGCTTAATCCTTCTAGCTTATGGTCTTAATCTAGATTCTCTCTCTTTTGGATAGATCTTAAGGCTACATGACCACTACCCCTGGCTTGTAAGTCCTTAGGCGATTCCCCACACGAAAGTGATGGCATTCGCTGGAAAAGATCCACTAAGAGCTCCAATATCTCTTGCTCTAGAAATAGAGGTCTAAGGGGTTGGATGGATTAGTTTGGGCAATGATCCTATAGCCTCCAAGGTTTGATTCTCACTGGCTAACCCCCTGTTTCTGAGATCATTCCTTGGTTGATAGCCTTCACCTTGGGAAAGGGTTGGCTAGGCATTGAGAAGCCCAATATCAAGAGAAGCCTTGATACAAGGAGTTTTAAGAGCTAGATGATTAAGTGTAGATTCCTTGATTGCAAAACCCTGTCTTGAACCCTAATTCTCTCTTATCTTGTTAAAGTCGTCACCTTTAGCTTTGTTTGTCTCAACTCGTCCCTAAACTCGATCGAGCTGGTACTTTGTTCTGACTCGACTCGAGTCTTGGTCGAGCTGCTACTTCACTGCTTTGTTTACTTTTATTGCATTGCATTTCATTTATTTAGGTTGTTAGTGTTACTTCAAATCTATTACTGCTTGCTTGACTTTCTGTTGTTTCATATTCTCAAGAGTGACAAGTTTCCCATTTTGGATTGATAACCTCTTGTACTACATGACTATGATGGTTAAGAGGAATTGATTGATTGTGATTGCACCATTTCATCTTTATTCACCCCTGTTTGCATTCCACCTCATATCTTATCATCCTTCATTCATATCATATCACATCCACCTAAAATCCTATCATCATATGTTCACTGCACGAGCACTTGTAACGAACTATGAATGGCTTGATCCCGGCACGGATACCTAGGCAGCCTTCTTCATTAAGAGTGCAGCTTTAATACTTAATAAAATAAAAAGCTTTATTTTATTCCAAGTCTTTTTCATCTCGGCAAGCATACGCCTCATCCTGGCATAAGCAAAAATTCCCGATATAAAGTATTAAGCAAGCACCCGTTTGACGTCAAACTGAAACTAAACCCGAGGCAAACTCGATAAGCGCTCGCACTCTGCACCCAAAAACATGGACTGATCATCCATTCAGCCGAGAGCACGCATCTCGCACGGCTCTCAGTTCGGCGGACGAGCAAACAAACTGCTACCTCGTCACCCGCACGAAGCTTTGAAGTCGGAAACATAAATCGAGATTATAGAGCTCCTCGCTGAAATTAGGCTCATCACGCCAGCATAAAGACCTAATACGCATCAGTCGGTGTCTCGAATGAGAAGTCATGACAAACCGCATAAGCATCGCGTCTCGTCATGACGCAATAGCACAATCACGCGCATCAAGGCGTGATACACTTAAAGACAACGAGTCGTCCCGATAATCGAACTTTCTATCTGGTGACGATAGGATACTTAGCTCAATTTATTCGGTTGACGGCATCTCGTCCTTTATTAAAAGCCGGATTACTTTCATTGCATTGTGGATTAATCAATTATGTCTAAGTCGTGACTAACGTTATCACGCAAGAAGCAAAACAAAGCACACAAATACTTAAAGCATAATAAGTATCTAGCATAAATCCGAAACACAAATCCTGACATTCGGATAAAAACCCTCCCGGGCAATGATATTACAACAACCAAAAGGCCGCAGCCGAAAGAAAAGTTTTAAAACAAAGAGAGATGGGGCCTAAGAAGACTTGGCCCCAGCAGCAAATGGTCCCGCACCAGGACCCGCATCATCTCGCAGAGATGGAGATTTCGGCAGCATCAGCTCGCAACAGAAAAGCTGCAAAAACAATTGCACACATCAATAAACATGCCGCAATACATCATCAGACAAAATATAAACTCAAATAAGCAAATCTTACCTGCGAGGCTTCGCAAAGTCATCATCACCGATGACGACCTCATCAATCGAGTCTCCACCCGCGACACTTTCCGCCAGCTTGGCCTCAAGCTTCTCCTTTACCGCGTCGAAGTCCAGATCAACTCCCTGATCTTCTTCACGAAGTCGAGAAGTCGACCTGCTGCCTCACTACTGCCGCCTCGACCGAGTCTCGCTGGACAACAAACTCCAAAAGACGGCGAAGACGAGGAACGTACCATTCGTTGACAGAGTTGTACACTTGGATAGCTGCCACCTCAACCCTCTCCTGACGACTCTGACGAAGACGTTCCACTTCGGCAGCAGCAGCCTCAGCATCCCGGCGTGACTTCTCTTCAAGGTCGGCGACCTGAGCCCTCACCCTGTCCGCCATGTCCTGAAGACCAAGAGACTTCACGATCTCGCGGTTCAGCGTCGCGACCTTCCCCTCAAGACCTAGCTTCTCGAGCTTCAGATCAGCCACCATCGCGTTGACGTCCTTAGCTTTTTCCTGCTCCCGCTGCATCCTCAAGACCTCATCCTTAACCGCTCGGAGAGCCGTCTCATACTTCTGGATCAGCGTGGCGAATTTCCCGCCAGACTTGACGTGATGCTGAGACGCTTCATCAAAGTCGTCCTTCAAGGTGAGCCTTTCGCGCGGAATTCCCCAGCCAAGATTGACCTTGGAAGTCCAAATCGTGCCCCACAAGCGTACTGATTCTCCATAAGAGGAGCATCACCACGCCACCACGTCTCCACCGCATGAGGATTGCAACTCTGGAGCTCGGCCTTTGGCACCTCAGGATTGTCCTTAGCATCAGGATTGGCCTCAGGAAGAGAACCACCTATCTCCAACTGACGAGACATGCCCTCATCATCGTCGACGAGACCCTCGCCGGGACGCCGAGACGATCCACCCTCTTCAGGACCGCCATTCCTGGGCCGATCAAAGGAATGAGCATCCTCCCGAGGAGTGAGGAATCACTCTCCCGGTCGGATAGGTGAAGCACCACCACGACGAGGAGGACTGGCCAGATCGTCGTCTTGACGTGACGCGCCCTCGTCTTGACGAAACACCTCCTCGTCCTGGTCTGTGGCAGGAGGAGAGTTGATGACAATCACCATCTCTGGAGTCTTCTCGGCAGCAGAAGACGAGGCCTTCGCCTGCGATGAAGCCCTGCAAAGCATCAATACTCAGCATTAAAATTCGCAATTGTCTAGCCTGAACGTTAGCCAAAAAGAAAAATAACTTGCCTCATCCGTGACGCGATGGGATAACTTCGAGGAGAAGAAGAGAGAGAATCTCTCAGCCTTGGAGACTCGATCCTTTTCTTCTTCGGTGCCGGCTTTGAGGCAACGAGGGCGTCGCCAACATCAATCGGAGTCCTTTTCTTAAGACCCATCGGTTTTTCTTGGAACGAGGCGATCTAGCTGGAACATAGCAAAATAAAAAATCAGTCGTCTATGACAAGATTAAACGCGAGAAAAAGGACGAGACACTTACTAGATAACGGGGTCGTGGAAATAGCGGGCTTGCTTTTCCCTTCTGTTTTCTCTCTTCTTTCCCTCCTCTTCTTCTCGAGTGCTGCCACGACCTCAGACCAGAGCTTATGACTAAGCTCCTTCAGCAACGCAAACTTCTTCTTGAGCTCGCTGATCGGCTTCGTTCGTTTAGATGGTCATGCGAGAAAAAACATAAAATCGCGTTAGAAGAGTGACTCGGCAAGCATGACGAGATAACGACTACTAATATTTTACCTGGCGAAGTGACCCATTATGTCTTAATCTGGTCAGCTTTGATTTTCCCGACCGAGGCGCGACAGATCTTGACAAAGAAGAAGTAGTTCTTCCACCAATGAATCTTGTTCCGATAATTACCAAACACGATATCATACTTCATCGTAGTATGAAACCGCTTGAAGTCCCTTTCCCACATCGACCCGGTCCGAAGATCTGTGACATGCTCAAAGAGCAAACGGTCGAACGTGAACCCGGCAGCCTTAGCTAAGGCCTCGGTGAAGACGATATAGCGGATAACTCCATGAGTCAGATGACTCGTGGGAACGTCGCGCTCTGCCGCGAACCTCAATAGCATAGGGGAAAGAGGGAAGCTCATCCCAAACTCCGTGAACATGCATTCGTAAACACACATCCATCCCGGTGGAGCATCGTAAGGCCTTTCATGAGCCTCCGGGAGACGGAATTCTAGAGAATCGGGGAACCCAGCCCTCGGAATAAGCTCCAGAAGGATTTCACGTGACATCCATGACCTCCCGTCATCAGTCAGCTTCGCGGGCGCGGGACATCCCGACATCTTGATCACATCAGGGATGCCTTTAAGCCTTGCTTGGCCTGAAGTTCCTGCCTCATCCTCGCAATCAGAATCGGCATCAGGATCATCTGATGGAATCCCGTCGTGATACCCTCTGTTGGAAGCGGACTCGTCCCCGGAATCGCCCCCTTCAGTTTCCTCTGTCTCGCCCTTTCCGCTCTCTCCGCCGCCGCACGACGGTCTGCTTGGTCCGCCGCTCTCTCCGCTTCTTCTCTATCGGTCCTATCAGCCACTCTCTCGGCCTCCAAGGCCTCCTCTGCCGCCTTCCTCCGGTGCGCTTCCGCCGCATCTGCTTGGATGACGTCAACATACTCTTTTTCCTTCTTATGGTTGTTGTCCCACTTGGGTTTTTCCGTATTAAGGTTTTAATGAGGCGGCACGAATCTAAATTCAGCACGCATCTAGGCACTAAAGTCGTGATAACAATGGCGCGGCACGATTGTAACTAATGGCTGTCAAGTTTCCTCTTAATTCATGAAACTCGCCGAGATCAAACTGCATTTGACTTGCCGAGCTGGGGGGGGGGGCTTATTGTTAGAGGAGAAATTAGCATATTTCCTTGAGCCCATCACCATTAGTAAAATCATAAAGCCCAATCCGACTTTAGCCCTAACTTCCTCAACAATATGGCAAGACTTGAGGAGAAAGGCACAATCCATGAGGAAATGTAAACAAAGTCTCATGCCGACTCGAGGAATGGAAGGAAATCGAGAACAAGAGGAAGTTTTCCATATCGCAAAAGAGGAAGTTTTCCATCTCGCCGGAAGGAAAATATTCATCAAGAAGCCGACCTATCAACACTATATAATAAAGACTCTCCATTCGTGGAAAGGCATCCAGCATATCCGGGAATCATTCAGAATCATTAGAACTCTCCTTGTTATTCCTCTTGTTCGCTATTGTTCGTCTCGTCAGGCCTGTTAACGAGACCACTTCCTTTGTAACCTCTTTAATATTCTTCGAGTTAATCAAGCACCCAGTTCCTTAAACTCACATCTTTACTAGTGCTATCTCAGATTCAACAGACATTCCAGAGTCAACTCAGTCCAGTTAGGGCCGAGTACGGATGGACCCCATCCCATCATGTTTTCTTTTTGAAACACCTTGATCCCATTATGTTGGAATTTGCTTGTCCCATCTGATGGACAACGAAGAAGAATTAATTGATTACGAGTCGATCGTACAACAAAGAAGAAGATGAGTTATATCTTAAAGGTTTAGATATAAATGTATTCGCTTATAGAATTCTTCCTTCTCAAGTTACCTTCTTGATAGTTAGAGAGCTTGGTCGTTTTGATCCTTTCAAGTAAGAACTTACGAATAATCTTCGCCTCAAGGTGAAAAGTCAAATCTCTGTGGACTTTTAAGCCGATAAATGATTCGACGTTCAACCATTTTAGGACGTTTACAAATCTCAACTATAATACATGCTTCCAAGTATTATTCTGAAGATTTGATTTCACTAAAAAATCATAAAAAATTCCCTAAATTCATATTTGATCATTAAACTTTATCTAAAAAAAGTTATAAAAAGCAAAGCATTACTATAAATCGAATATGGAATAAATCTCCTAGTAATAAGTTTGTTTGTTTAAGCAGTTTTATTTTTGAAAAATACACAGCGGTGGTTTTTTATTATTAAGTATATTTTTGCAATTGTTCCTAGAAGAATCTCTGTATTTATTTAGTATTATTATTTTCTTACAAAATTGAGCAAGCTGATGGGAGAAACAAAAATAGAGCATAATATAATTATTTTGTAAATCATAAAAATAAGTATGCAGAAATCATAAAAATCATATGATTCGTTGTGGTTACTCACCGCCATTTGAGTACTGCAAAATGTAGGCTTGCATGCTGTATTACAAAGGAGATAATGAGAAAGAAGAATCAGTTATCCAAAAGAGATGATTTTTGCTCTGGCTTCTACGATGAGGAACAAGCTTGTGAAAACTTCCTTAAACTTAGGGACGAGTGAGTGCCAAAACAGCTTAACAGACTTTACTGAATATAACCAAAGGAAAAAAGATACGTATAGCACAAAACAAATGAATTCAGTCGAAGTATTATATAGCTGTAAAATTTGGTTTCTTGAGCTTCTTCAAATTCTTCAAGCGCGAGGTACTGTTAGACACACCATCGCTAGTTAAGTTTTTACACCCGAACAAGTCAAGATACTCTAGACTCGAGCAAGCTTTACAAAGTCTGTCAAAAGCTTTATCAGTCAATGTGGAGAATCGAAGTTCCAAGTGCTTCAGATTCAGATTCGCATGTGTTTCACAATTGTATAAGCATCAACATTCCTATAAATGTCGATAGGGTTGTTATCCAAATAGTTCTGAGGCACGAACCTCGTGTACTCTAATCTCTCGACCTCGCAAGGATCCATCATATTCCGTTTTAGAATCTCAAGATTCTTGCAATTCTTAGCCACCATTTCGATACACAGGCAAGATATTTCATAAGAGCAACTTATATCAAGTTCCTTAAGTTTATGACAGTTTAAGGCTATCAAGTTCATCGACTTAACTTGTAACTTTTGGGCTATACTTAACACAAAGTACCTCAAGATTAGGACACCTACAAAACAAACCAAATCAAATTTGGTAAGCGATTAGGAAGAATAAGATGATTTCAATCCTCCAAGGGATTAAGTGTAAAACACGGCATCTGGAAAACTGAGACCTACCTCTCCGCAACATACGAGATAGATCGATCCGTGCAGTGCCAGACTCGAATCTCCGTCAGAGCTCCTTCGCTCCAATCCACAACAGAGCGGAGGAGAGAGTCAATATTATCCTCGAATTGTGGACCCCACAACCAGCTGTTCGAAGTGGGGAGAGCGAAAAATTTAGCATCGAGATCGAAGACCAAGATGAATGACGGGTCTTGGCACACGTTCATCCACGTCTTGCAGACCAGCATCGGTCCTGTTGATCTTTCTTCCATGTTCAGCCGTGAGAATATGTCGAGGAGACATTCCCGAGTCAACTCAGTCCAAGTCAGGGCCGAGTTCGGATGGACCCGATCCCATCATGTCTTTTTCTTCTTTTTGAAACACCTTGATCTCATCATGTTTTTTGTTTCTTTATTTTGAAACACCCTGATCCCATCATGTTGGAAATTGCTTGTCCCATCTGATCGACAACGAAAAAGAATCAATTGATTAGGAGTCTAGGAATCGTACAACAAAGAAAAGATGAGTTAATTGTCTTAAAGGTTTAGCTATGGAATGTGTTGGCTTTTAGATTTCTTGTTTCTTATGTTACCTTGTTGATAGTTAGAGAGAGCTTGGTCGTTTCGATTCTTTAACTAAGAAGTTACGAATAGTCTTCTAATCAAGGTGAAAAGTTCAAATGTTTGGACCTTTTAGCTGATAAATTATTCGACGTTTACCCATTTTAGGACGTCTACTAATATTAACTTAAATACATGGTTCCAAGTATAGTGTCATGTAATAAAAATCATAACGATTTCTCCAAATTCCTCCAAAAATGTTAAAATAAACTTATCAATATTCAAATCATTAGAAATTCAGTACTGAATAAATCTCCTTGGTTAAGTTCAAAATTTCCATATAAGCAATTGTAAATTTTTTTTCTTTGTAAAGAAACATATTAGTGGTATTTTTGCAAATTGTTCCTAAAACAAACTCTATAACTACTATTTTTATTTTCTTACAGAATTAAGCGATAGCTAATGGGATAAACAACATTAATTAAATTAAATTAGATTACAAAACATCGCAATTTTTTTGCTGATTTTGATCCTTTACAGCTGTTGTCTAACTAAAACCAATCACAAACATAATCAGAAAAAAAAAAAAAAATTGACAGCAAACTCTAATCAAAGGATATGTAATCTGAGTATTTGGCTTTTTGAACTCCACCAAAAACAGAAAGTATGATCACAAAACAATATAAATTCAGTAGTCAAAGACTTAAAGCTGCAAAATCTGGTTTCGTGATATCCTTCTAATTCTTGAGACGTGCGATACCATCGCCAGTCAAGTTCCAGACACCCGAACAAATCCAAATACTCTAGAATCGAACAAGCTTTACAAAGTCTGTCAAGAGCTATATCAGTTAGCGTGGAGAATTGAAGTTCCAAGTGTTTCAGCTGACGCATGTGTCTCACAATTGTATAAACATCAACATTCCCTAAAGTCACTAACATTCTCATGTTAGATAGATCCTCCAAATATGTATAAGGCACTAACATTGTGTGCTCTAACCTGTGTGCTCTAACCTCTCGACCTCTGATGGATCCATCTTATTCCGTTTTAGAGTCTCAAGATTGTTGCAGTTCTTACCAACCATCTCCATACACTCGCGCGCGCACACACACACACACATGCATATAAGGAATCTAATGCTTGATTTGTTTTCACATTTGATTTTGAAATCTAGTTTTTATTAATGTTTTTTCTAAACTGAATATTTAGCTATTGCTTATCTACGTAACAATGACTGCCACAGGAGCTAATATTTTATCTAGCGCATTGATAATCTGTTAAACAAAAAAACCATTGACCTAATTTGAAAAATAAGTTTGAGAAAACAAAATTCCTAGGAATGAATAATAAGTGTTTTTTGTTAAACACTATTAGCAAATGTTAAACCTGAAACATGTTTTCTACTTTATTTGATAACTAGGTGGGTGCCCGACGCCTAATGGCGCAGGCTATGATATTTATTTAGGAGATAGATATTTATAAACTGTAATATATATTTAATAAAAGTAAAATCTAATTATATGTCAATTATAAAAATAATTAGAGTCACGAATAATTCTGAACCTTTTAATAATACATAATGCATATGAACCTCTCCCATCCACAATCATGATATCCCCTATTTTTCGCATCTATGTTAGTTAAGATATCGATATATAGATCAAACAGATGGTACAACAAAACGATAGTATTGGACAAATAACATTTACCATCCGATTCGGCAATTCTCCATTCACTTAGAACGCAAACAACGTCGTCAGATTCACTGTCATTCACTTTCTTGTACATATCCACAGCTAAATCTCCATGAGCAATGCAATAAAGTTCCTCGTTCCTTTTTGATAGATGAATATCAAAATATAGTTCTTGTTTTTACGGTCATATAGTTTAAAAGTTTACTAATCACCTCTCATTCTTCAAGTGAAAGGGAATCGATATTTTCTTCTCAACATCCTTGCTTGGGGCTGAAAGTTTACCCATTTATCCAATGACTCCAATAAAATCTGCAAGAAAAGTAAAATGATACTCCCTCTGTCCCATATTATAAGCAGTTGGCCAAAATGAATCTAAAAAAAAGTGGATGTATCTTGATGGAATTCAGTCCAGATACATCCATTTTTTTTCAGATTCATTTTGCCCAACTGTTTATAATATGGGACAGAGGGAGTATATATTATTTCAAAGAACAGATATAATAGATCATGTTACTAATAATCTATGATTATAAATCACAAATAAACTATGTAACCAATCTAGATTAATGATGTACTTGCATTTTACATAGTTTTAGCACATCTTTTATGCATCTTTTGCATAGTTTTAGCTTCCATTTGCATCATATCTTGTTCCTTTTCTCTTCTTATGCATTCATGTTAGTTTTAGGTTGCATTTGCATACATATGCATGTTTGGTCCTTTGAAATAGGTCTTTTGGAGCATTCTGGAGCATATGGGACATGAGGAGCATGGAGGGACTTGGCACATGGACGCAGCTCAACTGGATACGCAAAGGAAGAAGGGAGAAGCCATCTTGAAGACCAGCTCGACCGTCTACTCGACCAACCGGTCGAGTTCCTCAACTCGACCGGCCAAGCTTCAACTCGATCGAGCTGAGAAGTCAAAGTCAAACCCGAAAAATGTTGCTTCCCCCTTGACTTTCCTTTGACCCTAAACCTAATCCTCTTGTATTTAAAGGCTCTAAGCCACGAAAAAACCACCAAGCTTTAGATTATTTTGTTTTAGTTTCTTTTAATTTATTGTCTTTTACTTTTTAGAGCTAATCCCATCTTTGTGTTCTTGAAGCTCTTGCTTCTTGAATCCTAGATCCTGGATAATCTCTTTGTATTTGCACTTGCTTATTTCAATAAAAGTTGTTTAATTTCATCTCCTCTTTCTTATGATGTCTCTTTTATTGCATTTGCTTGTGTTTACATTCATGTGTAGTGAGTAGTTACCCATTAGGGTTTGAGATGGGATAGATTAGAGGTTTCATATGCTTAATCCTTCTAGCTTATGGTCTTAATCTAGATTCTCTCTCTTTTGGATAGATCTTAAGGCTACATGACCACTACCCCTGGCTTGTAAGTCCTTAGGCGATTCCCCACACGAAAGTGATGGCATTCGCTGGAAAAGATCCACTAAGAGCTCCAATATCTCTTGCTCTAGAAATAGAGGTCTAAGGGGTTGGATGGATTAGTTTGGGCAATGATCCTATAGCCTCCAAGGTTTGATTCTCACTGGCTAACCCCCTGTTTCTGAGATCATTCCTTGGTTGATAGCCTCACCTTGGGAAAGGGTTGGCTAGGCATTGAGAAGCCCAATATCAAGAGAAGCCTTGATACAAGGAGTTTTAAGAGCTAGATTGATTAAGTGTAGATTCCTTTGATTGCAAAACCCTGTCTTGAACCCTAATTCTCTCTTATCTTGTTAAAGTCGTCACCTTTAGCTTTGTTTGTCTCAACTCGTCCCTAAACTCGATCGAGCTGGTACTTTGTTCTGACTCGACTCGAGTCTTGGTCGAGCTGCACTTCACTGCTTTTTTACTTTTATTGCACTGCATTTCATTTATTTAGGTTGTTAGTGTTACTTCAAATCTATTACTGCTTGCTTGACTTCCTGGTTGTTTCATATTCTCATAGAGTGACAAGTTTCCCATTTTGGATTGATAACCCTTTGTACTACATCAACTATGATGGTTAAAGGGAATTGTTGACTGTGTTTGTGTTTGCATCTTACCACCTCATCATATACCACTGTTGCATTCCACCATCTCATTTCATATCTTTTCACATCCACACACAAATCCTATCATCAATTTGGCGCCGTTGCCGATTTGGGAATATTTTTGTTGCATTTGAGTTTCAAACACACTTGGACGATCAAGCTATACCACCCCTGTTCTATTGTACTGCTGGGTTTTTGTCTCTTTTTGCAGGTGTATGCGAACTCGATCGAGTCGGTCTACTGAGGACTTGGTCGAGCTAGACTTACAACGGGTAGAAAGAGGGTTCAGAGGTCACAGAGGGTACAAGAGGAACCTGAGGTGCTTGTTGCTGATACAATGGATGTACCAGAGGGGAATGGAAACCCTTTGGGCAATGGACTCGGTCGAGCTAGGCAAACTCGACCGATTGGTCAAGGAGATGCTCCAAACCGCCACCAACAGAGACAAGGGATTGTTCCACCACCAGTGCAGAACCACAACTTTGAGATCAAGCTGGGAATGATCAACCTTGTCCAGAACAAGATGTTCCATGGATTGCCAAGTGAAGACCCCATTGACCACCTTGATGAGTTTGATAGGCTTTGTGATTTGACAAAGATCAATGGTGTCTCTGAAGATGCCATCAAGCTGAGACTCTTTCCTATGTCTCTAGCTGACAAAGCTCACCAATGGGAGAAGAGCTTGCCCCATGGCACAATCACCACTTGGGATGAATGCAAGAAGGCCTTTCTTGCTAAGTTTTTCTCCACCGGTCGCACAGCCAAGCTTAGAGGAGAGATATCCAGCTTCATCCAGCGAAACAATGAGACATTCGCAGAGGCTTGGGAGAGGTTCAAAGGCTACACAAGTCAGTGCCCACACCATGGATTCAACAATGAATCACTACTCTCCACTCTTTATAGAGGATGCTTGCCTAGGTATAGGGAGATGCTAGACACAGCTAGCAATGGGAACTTCCTCAACCAGGATGTAGATGATGGCTGGCAACTTGTGGAGAACATAGCTAACTCAAATGGAAGCTATGGAGAAGAGTATGATCGCACCAACCGGAGCTCGACCCACCACTCGATCGAGTCAGACGAAAAGTTGAGAAAAGATGTTAAGGCATTGAATGAGAAGTTGGATAAGCTGATCCTAGCTCAGTCCACAATGAAGAAAGTCAACTTTGTGTCTGCTGAGGAGATGGAACCAGTCCAAGAAGGGGAGGATACACAATTTGCTGAGGTGTGCTACATGAGCAATGGGCAAGGAGGTTACAACAAAGGATACTATAATTACAAGTCCAACCCTGCCATGTCATACCGCAACACTGATGTTGCTAACCCTCAGGACCAAGTATATCCTCAACAACAAGCAGCTCGATCGAGTCAGGTGCCACAACATGGGTATGGTCAAAAGAACAATTACCAAGGACCACAAGGCACTTTCCCTGGACAACAAATGAATATCCCACCAGGCTTCCCCACCAACCGCCCCAGCCTGCACCTTCACAAGAGAATGAGCTCAAGGCAATGCTAAAGCAACTACTTCAAGGGCAAGCTGATGGGGTAGTGGACACAAGCAAGAAGCTAGCTGAAATAAACTCTAAGATCGAGAACCTCAACACAAGGGTTTACTCTCTGGAGAATCATGCTTCTTCTGTTGCTGCTGCTACAAAGCAAGGACAACTACCTGGTAAAGCTATTCAGAACCCCAAGGAACAGTGCAAGGTCATCTTCACTCAAGAAGGACTTGTTGAAGAAGAGGATCAAGAAAGGGTCATTGAAGATTTTTGTTTACTGCTGAATGATGAAGAGATTGTTGCTGCTGAGGCTCCTGGAGTCCAGATTGATCAACCAGAAGTGCAGGCACCTACTGTGGCCATTCACACTTCACCAGTTGAGCTCGCACGACAAGCTCGATCGGCAGCTCGATCGAGTCCAACTCTAGCTCGATCGAGTCCGACCTCTTCTGTCCGAAACCTTTTGCTTGATCCTTACCAACCGGTTGCCGCTTCCTCGTCTCGCCTACTTAGTCAAGGTCACAAGGAAGTGATTCACAAGTTCAGAAGAGATCTCAGTGGGATTGGAATTGAGTTGCCTCCTATGGATAGCATGAGTGAGGCATTTGATCAAATGCAAATGGTCAAGGATGTTCTGAACAGTGAGGAGTCTACTCATCAGTTCAACCTGCTTACTTCACCCACCTTCCTACCAAAGGTCAAGGATCAAGGGAAATTCACTCTCCCTTGCACACTTGGGCATCTTGAGATTGACAATGCCTTAGTGGATTCTGGAGCAAGCATCAATCTGATCTCTCTCTCCATGGCAGAGAAGCTAGGCATTGCTGGAGCCTTGCAGCGCCCTACTACTTCAATCATGTTTGGAGATGCAACTTCTAAGTCTCCTCTTGGAGTGTTCAAGAACTATCACTTGAAAATTGGAGAATGCATCATCCAAACTGATCTCACTGTGATGGAAATGGAAGAAGAGAAGGATTTACCTCTGTTATTGGGAACCCCTTTCCTTAGTACAGTTGGCGCTTCAATAGACTTTCACAAGCAAGAAGTGATCCTTCACAAGGTGAATAGTTTGGTGTCATATCGCTTGCAGCCTAGAGGTTCAGACTTTTGTGCCACAATTGACAGTACCACTCTCAGTTCTAAGAGTCATGGAGCTACAAAGGTTGTGAAGGAAAGGGTTGACAAAGAACCAAGAGTTGGGAAGGATAAGGATGAGAGAGGACCAAGGATTGAGAAGCCACGTCTTGAGAGGGCTAGAGTTGAGAAACCACGATCTGATAGACCACGAGCTGATCGACTTGTTCAAGCCCCTTGTGTGCTTGATGAAGAGAGCCTTCAAGCTTTGTTTGATGAGCCACTAGGAAGGGCTCTAAAAGAAGGGGAGGATGTAGCCTCTAAGGCAAGACCAGGGATAAAAGAAAGATCCACCAGCTCAGGCCCCTTCAGTCAAGCCATCTCAGCTCACAATGACTTTGTTCCCCACCAAGTTTGAAAATGGGAAGATTGAGTACAAGATAAGGTACAAGGGGAGATCAAGGCCATTCTCTAGAGCCAAGGCCTTGGTGACTTCAGAACAGTCCAGGGACCCAACCAAGCTAAAGGAGCTTCTGTCTCAAGTCCTCACTATCACCCTTGATGGTGGGACTAGCTCAACCAATGCCTAAGAAAGGTCAAGCTCACTCACTTGGGAGGAAGTCCCATGTTTATCCTTGTACATATTCTATTTATGCAATTTCTATCTATTTTGTTTTTAACCTTTGAATAAGTTAAGTTTAGGTGTCAAAGGAGCCAGCTCGACCGACAGCTCGATCGAGCTAGAAACCAGGGGATCGAACTCGACCGAGGTAAGTTTTTGAATTTCAAATTCATAACCGTTTTCTTGGTCAAGGGAGTGGGTCCCACAAGCTGATTTTGGTCCCCCACTACCCTAATTGATCAGAAATCCCTAGCCTTGTTCCCCTCTTTATTTCATCTTTTAATCTCAACCACACATCTCAAACACTCCCTCTTCCCCATAACTCGATCGAATCCCACTCTCTCTCCCACAATCTTAAAATTTCTGAAAATCTCTCTCTCTCTCTCACCACAAGAAAAATCGATTTCAATCTCTCTTTCTCAAGTTTTTGCGATTTCCTTTGTTCTTCATTGTTTTGCTTGTTCTTGTTTACTGTCTTCAATTCATCATTCAACAAGGTATGAACCCTAAAACCCTTGATTCCTCCATCTCGATTTCCATATTGCTTGTTTCTCTTTGATTTTTGATTGCATGTGTCCCTTGTGGACTTGTTCTTGAGTAATTGCTTTCCCTTGCTTCATATTTGTTAATTTGTGAATTTGCCTCACCTCACCTCTGTTTTGCATTAGAACTTGTTGCATGTGCTTGAAAATTGAATTTGAGTTTGGTATTGGTTAAGATGCTTAGTGCTTCACTAGAATTGCTCATTGTTCCATTTACTAGTTGTTCTTGGTTCAATTTGATTGATTAGCATCTTTTCCAGCTCTTAATACTTGAATTAGGTTCGGTTATACTCTGTTTTCACCTAGCTCGATCGAGTTTGTCACTCGAGTTTTTTGACTCGATCGAGCTGAGTGTCGAGTTGACCAAACCGATCATTACAACTCTAATTCTTTGTAATCTTTGATGCATTTCAGGTACTTTAGTGAAGAAACAGTGTAACAAGATGACAAACAGTGAGGGAAGCGTGCTTCACAAAGGAGAATGGTTGAGGGTGAATCAAGCAATGCAAGAGAGAAAGGCTTAAGATGCAAGCCGATTTGGAGAGGATGATCAAGATGGAAGAGTCTGATGCAGAGGATATGTCTACTCTGAGGAAGAGTCTGAGAGTGAGAGATTGAGGGAAGAAAGGAGGAACCAAGAAGAGGAATGACCCATTAGTAGTGAGAGTGAGCAAGGGGAGTTTGAGATTGGAGTGAACCTTGTTCAAGAGGAGGGATGGTCTCCAAATGAAGAAGGAGTGATGAGACTGAGAGTGAAGAGGAAGGAGAAGAGGTGAACAATTGGTTGATGAAGAGATCAAGAGAACCAAGATGAGCCATGGAGGAGGCTGAGTCAGAAAGAGGAGGATGAGCTCCCCATGTACCAAGAGCACTACAATGCTCTCTTCTCCATGGACTTTGTGGAGACCAAGTACCCACATGATGACACAATGAGAGGCCTTGGGATCTTTGAGGATGTGGAGTTGGTCTCAAGAACATGCAATTGGCCAAGTTCTTCTCTCACCGCATGGAGTCTACAAGGAGCTCACTTGTGAGTTTTTGGCTCAATGAGGTATCACAGTTGATGAGCTCGATCGAGCTGAGTTGGACCAAGGTTGGGGGTCACGTTCTTGGCAAAGGGAGAGAAGAAGATGGTGACCTTTAGGCAGCTTGAGATCTGTTTGGGTTCACTATGGAGAAGGAAAGTGGAACTCAAGGAAAAGAACTCCAAAGGAGTTTGGGCTACAATCGCTGATGGAGTGTACTCTTCCTCAAGGTCCAAGGCAGCTCAGATCAGGAGCCCAGTGCTTGAGATATGTGCACAAGGCACTTGCCAACACCTTCTTTGCAAGGAAGGCCACTGGGACAATCAATGAGGGAGAAGTGAAGCTCCTTGACATGGGAATCAAGCCCATCATCTCACGCACAAGGATGGGAAGAAGATCAGAGGAGACAGGGCACACGCAGGGAATCTCATGCCTCTCCTTGAGCAGCTCCAAGCCTACAAGGTCACGCTTACAACACTAGGCACCAAAGAGGAAGAAAGCTTAGTGTTGGAGGGGTGATCACACCAATTCTTTGTGCAGCAGGAGTTCAAGTGGACAAGAGAAGGTCTACTCCACCAGGTTGGATGGACATCAAGTTCTGCAAGACCAACCTTCTCATTGAGCACAAGGAGTTGGATGGGAGATTCCAATTCA